ATGTTTCCATAGTTTTCACATTTCGGGTTTTCCAGTCTACGCTAAAGGTCATTCCATTTGTCTCAGCGAACAAAGTTCCTTCGCTCCCTGTCTGATAACCATTGGGCATTTACTCGTTTTCGCCAATAGCGAAATCAACGCCAATAGCGCAGTCCGTGATATGACGTGTCCTATACTTTGGAACGTTCTTTAGCAACGCCCGTACACTAAGGCAATTCATTTCCTAATATAACATAACATATTTAACCCACTTAGTAGTTTACAATACATGAACCTAATGTTAAAAAAAAGAACTGATGTGCGACCGTAATCCGCAAATCAAATGTTTGCGTATTCCACAACAATGACGAGTACGCCCTTTGTGCTTTCCACTGCTCTCACAGTTTTGAACTGTTTGTTATCACACTTGTGAGTTTTGTGCTGATACAGGTGCATAATGAATATTTATATATTTTTTGCACGAGCTATGTGCTCGAAAAAATAGAAGTACTGCTCGCTATTTTCGTTATTGCCATAAATAACATATATCATCAATAATTTACATACATGTTTTTTGTTATTTATTTCCATCAGCGTAATAAAGATGAGATCATTTGTTTATATATCATTGGTGCTTATGGTGGCCACAATAGTTTTTTGCGTAAAATTTCTACAAGTTTCCGAGAAGTCATTCACGAAGAAATCATCGGAGAAATCAACTGTATATATAGATGTTGGTGCAAATAGGGGTGACACGCTTCGACTATTCTACAAAGAACGCATGAAGTCAACGAACCAGAAAGAGTTTAAAATTCCGTATGAGTATGACCCAACGGAATGGAAGGTATTTGCATTTGAAGCCGACCCAATACACTCTAATGAGTTATTGGAACTGAGAAAGAAATACCACTTCCAGCTTTACAATGAGACAGCTGTTTGGATAAACACTGATGGGATCACATTGTACCCTGATCGACAAGCTGAAACGAAGGGTTATTGGGGGAGCTCCATCTCAAAAACTAAAAAAGACGTGGATAACCTTTCTCCCATCAACGTTAAGAGTATAGATTTCAGTAAATGGCTAGGCGATCACGTGACTCCCGATGATTTCGTAGTAATGAAAATGAACATCGAGGGAGCGGAGTTTGAAGTATTGAATAAACTACTCAACGATGATAATTTTTGTTTGCTGGACCAGCTTTTCATTTTCTACCATACAAAAATGGCCTTTGATGATAAAAACGAACTTGCAAATGCGATGCCCAATCGTGTCAAGCGAAGGTCTAGAGAG